TAGCACTCACGTCGTCACGTTCACTTTTCTTCACTGCTGGATCCGAATCCTATCCTAACCTATTTCACTCGATGGAGTGCACTCTTACAAGTCCAAAATAGTCCAAGTGTGCTTTACGGGGCTCCTGCCCCCAAGATGCTCCAGGCGACAGTTACCTCGCTGCCCTGCCTTTGGAAAGGTTGCGCAGAATCGGCGTTTGAAGACGCTTTCCTGACAGATCGCATAGGATCGCGGCCCCTTATGGCCCCTTTCACCACATCTTGAAGACTAGCATGAGCTACCCAACGACTTTGCATGTTGCTTGGTTAGTTAACATGACTTAGCCACGGACGTGATACAGAAGCTCAGGACCTTAGCAGCGGAAATCCAAACCGCAAAGCTTCAACGGAGCTTCAACGGAGCTTCAGGATCTGACGATTGTGACAGAACCGGCACGCATCTCCGCGCGAGCACGAACTGGCGATACCCGGGTTACTCTAAGGGGAGGAATGGGGAGATATGAGTTGAAGATACAGATGCTGCGCAAACGTTAGCGTCAGAGTTGCTAGGAAAAAACAAATGAGATACGAAACGCGAAGACTCTACAAATCAAACAAAATCAAAATCAAACAAATCTCTGGAAGCGCCTTCGTGTGCTCGTGGCACCTGACGTGCAAAGTTAGACTCCTGCTATGCTATGCAAACCACTTTCGTACAACTTTGTGCCTTCACGTTGTTCGGCCATGGAGTCGAAGCACCTCAAGGGGTTTTTTTTCGGTCGTCACAAACCCGTAAAATCCGCAATAAAAAACACATTGTGTCACATTGTGTCACATGTCAATGTTCAAAAACTGTTCAAAAGACATGTCAAGAGACACTTCAGACTGTCACAGACATTTCTGCTCTCAGTCTCAACCTATTTCAGCCTGTTTCAGCCTGTTTCAGCCTGTTTCAGCCTGTTTCAGCCTTCGTCCGAGGTCGGGGCTCATCACATGGCTCGGCCGAGTAGGTTCCAGGTGGCCGGCGCCGATCCCGTGGATTGTGGAAAAAAGGACAAAGCTTCCGGTCATGCTGAACACCTGAAGCCGGGGTTTACGTTGTCAAAACCATGAAACCACGACAGAATTCACGAAGCAAATCGAAAAGAGAAACTGGAACTGACTGTAATTAGATGTAATTTGCTTAATTACGATGTAATTGACTGGAACTGAAGAACCTGCGTTGAATACTCAGCTCTCTTTAGAACACCTGCATCGTCTGAGTTTGTCCTCAGAATCTGGAATGGCTTTCTTTCTAACCACTCTTTGCCAAAGTTCCGAAACCATATCAAACCTTCGAAGGGTAACGCCGCTCTTTTTTGGATTCAGTGATAATTCTCAAGTTTGGCTACTTCAATCTTCAATGATCTTCAATCTACTTCATACTTCCATGAGATTCATTCGTCAGGCCTCGGCTCTTGCGGCAAGGAAAGACCTCAGGGTGCAGCTTTGGCTGGAACCAGCACCAAGACACGAGCAAAACAAGAATAACTGGACAAAAGGGATAATTACAACTGTTATTCAACTGTTTAACATGTTAAACATGGCTAAGATTGCATAAGGATTGAATATGATTCAATATGAATAAATTAATTTGATTTTTGAATGTTTCAAAAATGTCGGAAGACGGACAGAAGTGCTCTCGCCTTGAAGGTGCTGAGGTCTACAGTGGGTTTTCCTGCTGGAAATCAACGAAATCCGACCATTGAAACACGAAGATCAACGAAGCGCAACGAAATGCGCCGGACTGCATGATCTCTCCTGGAGGTTCGTCCCAGTTCTCCTGATTCGATCACATTTCACATCCAAACATAGCAGACATAGCAATATTTCAATATATTTCAATATATATATATATATATTTATATATATTTATTTATTTATATTTATTTATATTCAGTGTGTATATATATATATATATTATATATTTCAATTACCTGGTAGATGCTGTTGATATACCAAGATACTGCCGGATTTCGCATGACATTATGACATTGAGCATAACTTGGTCGGTCTGAAGACATCTTGAGCATAACTTCGCGGACTTGGAGCACAGTGCTCCTCAGTCTCCTCAGGTACATCTTTCAGACCTGGAGCAACGAATGGAAAAGAATGGCAAGAGTCAATGCTTCACAGTGTGCTTTTCCGATTAAAACTACACCACTTTCCTTCACTTTCCTTCACTTTCCTTCACTTTCCTTCCTTATTTCATATGCTTTCATTATGCTGTCATTGTGTTTGTTCTATGTTGTTCTCCTGTCTCCAAAGGTTCCAAAAGCGCCAAACCTCGAGCAGCTGAGTGATGTGAATATCTGGCTGCAGCTTTGCAGCGAAGCTCCTAATGACACAGCAACGTGCACAAACACAGCATGTGGTGGCAGCATTTCTGACATGTCTGACATTTCTGACATAAACATACATAAACAAGAATAATAAAGATCTGTGACATTTCTGGTCCTTGTCGGAGTGTGCAAAACAGCAAGTCGCCTTTTGGCAATCGCTGCCTTGGATGTCAAACAAATGCCCTGCTTGATACTTGTTGCTCTCCTTCTACAATCAGCATAATCAGCATCATAGTTTTCCATTTATAACATTTTATAACCGTGTTTGCACCAGACCATCCACAATTACAAGCTGATTTTGTTGTAGAAACACAGAAGGTTTTCTACTCATGCAAGACTTTACCCAAGTGAATTTGAAAGTCAGCCAAGAAGCCGTTGCAAACACGCGTTTTGTACTTTGCTGGATGGTAGGAGATCTCTCCCTGTCGCTGCAGGAGCATGCTTGGAAAGTCAAGATGTTTGAGACCACAAGGGAGATCCAAAAACCTTATACAGTGTTACAACATGTCAAGACCGGAACAGCTCTTCTAACCCTTTTGAACCCCTTTGGTTTGTCAGAACTCTGGAAGCTCTTCCAATGCTCCGCACCTTTGAATGTGCCAAAGTACATTGGTCTCCTCTGGGACACCTGACAGCCCAAACTTTCTACACAACATGTCACCATCGAATTTCAGCACAAAATGTCACCAAACAAAATATGCAAAAACATGTCCCATCTGCTGATTTTAGAGGAGGAAATCATTTCCTCTGCTTTTAACATCCACATGTTTGGTGTCAGGTGATCTCTTTTCCATCCTGACGAAATTAGACTACGTACAAACATCAAAATGTGGTGCCGTTGGAATCTATATCTAGAGTTGATACTGTAGACTGTAGATTGGTCGAACTTCAATGACTGGACATCAGTTTGCATTTATTCTCTAGTTTCTGAAATCCCGCTGTGGGTATTTTCTCAAACGTTTGCCCTTTTGCCCTCTTGTTTTACATTGCTAAGTTCGCAGCTTGCTTGGTTGCGAGATCCACTTGCATGGAAGCCTTAGGACTGTGGAGAATGATTTGTGACGGATGCAACGGTCGAGGATCACTCGAGAACTTCGAAAAAGATCTTCTTGTGCAGATCGATCGCTCGTGTGACGGCTCTCCGTGTCCAAGAAACTCCCAATATCTCAACGTCCCGTCTGGTCCAATGGGTGACCGCCGCCGCTGACCCTACCAGAGTGACAGCTCAGCAAAACGCAACATCGTGCGACATTCAGTTGAAACAAAAGGTGAAAGAAAAAGTGGAAGACTTGAAAAGCTACACTTCCTGCGGCCTAGCAGGGACCAAAGGAAAGTGCAATGAGGGGCGATCAAACAACATCAAACAAGACGGTTTCATACCAGAGCCAACGCCAACATATGTTTGTTTCAGCTTCAAACTGCTTTGCCTCAAAGTGGAAGTTGAAGCATTGCATTTTCGGCTTGTGCAGCTCACAATGCCCAGCCTGTCCAAGAACCAACCAAACAAGCTGAACCAGCTGAACCAGCTGAAGCCCGTAAGATCCGCAAAGCAAAGCATTGCCGTGTTGGCCGTGTTGGACCGGTTGGATCATTGATTGGTCCGTTTTCGTTTCCCAAGGCCTGGAAGTCCGCGCACTTTTCTGTCCGGCAATATCTGGCAAGGGAAACTCTCGAGTTGCAGTCTGTACAACCATCTTTAAACACATATTTCAATCATTCTCAATCACGTTCAATATATTTCAGTTCAATCCGTCTCCTGTTGTCATGTTGTTGTCGTTTCGTGCATCATTTGTGGCGCTTCTCAACTAGATGGATTTTCTGGGGACAATCGATCGCCAATGGCTCTGTTTCAGAGCGCCTAATGAACTTCTCAAGGCTCGAAGGCTGATCTACTTCTGGTTGCCATCTGGGCAAGACTTCACCTCACAGACGTCAGACATGTCATGACAATTGATGACATGATATGACATGTTTATCATGACGTTATCATGTTTGTTCAGACATGTTCAGACAGTTCTCACATGAGACGTGGCGCCATTTGCAGCATTTTGCCCAGCATATTGCAGCATATTGGCGCTCATGTACCGAATGCTGAGGTGATCTCTGTCTTTGCAGAGTCTGACTGAGTGCCATGCATTTGGAATTCAAATCCTTTGGCTCCAAATCCTGCAGTTGCAACTATTCCACATTATCCATGTTGCAACAATATGTTGTCCGTTCTTGTCCATATTCTGGGAATGATCGAAATTGTTGAAAATGGCTTTGGACTTTCCAATTATAGTTCTAACAGGGTTCCAAGATGTGTCAAGGCTGTGGCCTTCTTTTGGGAGGCTTCGGACTTGCGAGGCATTCACCTCAGAGATTCTGGCAGAAATGTCGAAGGGCACTGTACTGGCATGCACTGATATGTACTGGCAATGACAGCCAGGTCCACGCCTCTTGAAACCCATTTACAAATTAACATATCCAATACTAAAAGCACTGTATTGCCTTGAGCCAAAAGATTCCATCAGCTGTCGCCTTCACCAATATACACGCAGAAGTCGGGTTGCAAAACATGTGTTTACAGAACTGCTTCTGAGGCGACAAAGAAAGTAAGAAATGGAAGCTGAAAATGGCTGGAGCAGCCGTGTGGAGGCACCCAAAGTCACGGAGTGCCACTGGAGACATCCTCACAGCATCTCTCAATGGAGTGTTACACCTTGAAACATCTTGAAACTTGGAACAGCATGGGACTCAGCTACGCAAAAAAACAACGAACCGACTCGACGGGAAATCAACAAAAATAACGAACGGAAACCGAAAGGACACTTGGTTTTGGAGCCTCCAACTGTACTCCTGCTCTGGAGGCCGCTGGCTAAGATCAGCAGTAATCATCACCTGGAAAAGAGATCCAAGAGCCATCAGATATGTAACGTGCCATGAAAAGTTGAAACCAGAGTTGGAACCAACTCGTACAACTCGTAAAACCAAACGAAGCGAAAATCAAAATCGTTGGAACCAGGTCGCCTCCCGGGGCAAAGGCACAAAATATTGCTCTCGAAGGAACCTGACGGACATGAAGCATCAAGCATGCAAGCATCATGCTACAAAATGCTACAAAGACTCCCTGATCTGTGAAACATGTACTGGACTTTCCACTCAGCAGCTTGCTGCGAAGTGTTTTTTGGTGTTTTTTGTTCCTCGTTCCCGCTTCGCTTGGCCTCTTGGCATCAAATTGTCTCAAATTGCCTACCGAATGCCACCGCAGGCATTCAGGTCTTCGATAATCTTTGTACAATTTCGAAGCTGTGAAACCCATACGCCAATGTGGCCAAAAGCAGGCATGAAATAACGCGGCAAAGACGGGAGATTTCTCGGCGTGACAAATGACTCAATGGCCCAGAACAGGTTGTGAGAAGAAACCTGGAGCGCAGTCATGCATAACTCCAGTCAGCCAAAGGTCTTGCGCATTTTTCCCATCTGATTTGGAGGCAGTGCTCTGGATATCTTTCAATGTGGCATTTAAGATATCACAACTTCCTTGATATTTTAACTGTTTGCTTTTTTGTCATGCAAAGATCAAATCGTGTCCGATGCCATTCCCAGTACTTGGGTCACTCTGTGAGAGTCCCTGAGTGCCCCAGTCTACCGGTTTCAGCAAAGCAGCGAATAAGATCCTCTGCTTGCTCATCTTCGTCATCAGGTGCTGGGGTCGCCATGGCCTAAACACCAAAACTCCCACAGGCAGCACCTGGTTTCCATGTTTGCGCGTCTCCATTTCCTTGCTTTCTCTGGTCCAATATGTCCAACACAGGTGTAGAAAGATTAAGCATCTTTACTTCGCCACAGCAAGTCCCAGCTCGTCCAAAATTCCTTGAAAACCCAGCACTTGACCAAAATCTCAAGTTTTTCAACCACATTTTTACTTCTGGATGTTTCATGTCTATGACATCTGTGACATTGCTGCTCTCTTCATATTCTCAAGGCCTCTGGAGTGCCCGGTGCTCCATAAGACGATGTCCGCATGATGGGCGCGTTGGGTTCTGAAATCGGCGTAGCTGGCGTAGCTAGTGCCTCCTTGGTAGCCGCACTGCCACATTGAGAGCAATGGAACTTTGGTTCGTTTCCTTAGGCAACGACCAGCTGGCTATGACTTTCGGAGCCTTTCTCTGAAGTGGCCGAAGGCTTCTGGGCCTATGCAGTGTCACCGGGGGTTCACATGTTGCCACTACGAAAATGTGATAAAATTGCAAAAACTGCAGCGAATTGTTTCAATGGTTTCAATGTGATTTTCACGAAATCTGCTTTTCAAAGTGTAGCAAACACTGCAGCCATGTCTATCCATGCGAGAACTGAGAATCTGTCCTCTGTGGTTGCTTCTTTCGTGGTGCTGAGCAAGGCAACACACGGCAGCTAAAGCGGAATGTCGCAGTTTCCAATCGAAGTAGTTTTGGCAGTTTGCCATCTTTGGATATCTTTGGTCGTTTGTATGACACAGCAAGCTCAACATGTGCAAATCACTAGCAATAACTCATAAATCAAAAACAAACGCAACTGTTTCTAGACTAAATTCGGGATCATTTGTTGCCTCCTGTCCCCCAAAAAAAAAATTGCCAGAGAGATCAAAGAGAGCATCTTTATGAATTCCATTGAATTCTTGTATATTAAGAGTAAGCTGAGACGGAGGGAACGAAAGCCAGCCGCGTTCTCTTACTTTGCCATTTCGCACTAGTAAGCGAGGAGCGCGGCGGAAGGATCAAGGTTGCGCTTCAGCAAAGAAGTGCTTTCAGGGATGTTTCCCACCTTTTTTTCTACGTTTGAATCGAAACGTTAAAAAAGGAAGAGAATTGGTGACAAAATGGGTAATATAAAGAAACCAAATATAAGAAATGAAAAAGATGAAAAACCAAAATGATTAAAATAATATTATGTTTGTTAAAACATGTCTGAACAATGAAAAATAAAAATAAGGAGAAGGGCCAAACATGGAAGCACAAAAGGAAAATTACTTTCTTTGAGTGATCCCCACCAAGTGACAGTCTATCTGACATACATTCGGACATTCCATCTGGCAATATATTCTGACATTCCATCGGGCATTCTATCTGGCATACATTCTGACATTCCATCTGGCATTCTATCTGGCATTCTGATCGGCATGTTATCTGACATAGAATTCTGACATTTGGCATGTATTCTGACATTCGGTCTGGCATACGTCCTGACATTCTATGTGAACGCGGCATTCTATTTGCCACCTATCTTGGCATTCTTTCTGGCACCTATTCTTACAGTCTCTCTGGCTTGTAATCACGCCCAGGCATGCTCCACTGCCTCCGGAGCTCGCAATAGGGTTCAGGCCCAGGTGACCAGTTAGAATCAAAGCATACAAGTGCTGGTAACATCCTGCCTCCTCCCCAAGCTGCTTGGACGGTCGCATATGCTCTTCGTTCCTTCTGTCTTGAAAGGGCAGCCCGGCCGTCTGCAGGTTGCTTCGCCTTCCGCACTTGCTGTGAGGCTACCGGCAAGGGGTAATCCGCCGGAACCTCTCTTCCAAACTGCGCCGACACCTCGATTAGGCTAGCATGGCGGCTGTAGGGTGAAAAGGCCCCTCTGCAAGCATAGCCCGCAAGTACGCTTCTGTATCTTTCCCATGCACTTCCTGCAGGCGCAGGTGAACGGGGCATTCAGCACCCATGTTGCACTCATCAGGGTTTGGGCAAGAGGGGCGCCAGCACGGGCCTTGGGCCCGCACCCTCCCTTGGATCGGGTCTCTGGGGCCTGGTGCGGGCCAAGGGGAGCAGGGCGCCGTCTGGCACTACCTTCCTGCCCCCTGCCCAAAGGTGCACCTTTTTCGCCACGCCAAACAACCGGCCGTGCCGGGCTTCGGGGTCCTCACTGGGGAGGTGGCCTGGCACGAGCTCCGAGGCGCAGGCTCCTTGTGCCTGGGCCTCGCGCACCACTGTATTGTCACCATGCGAGCAAGGGTTGAAAGAATGAAACCTTTCGTGGACCAAGGAAAAGGAATGTGCACCAATTAGAGTAGCAACATTAGACAACACCCAGACACATGAAAAGAAGTTCCCAGAGCGGAAGCCTGTTCGGACGTGCGTGTGACCATGATGTTAGCAAGTTCCATCATGTCCCGATAGGATCCAATGTCTGACTCAACTGGTTTTCACTCACATAACCAGGACCTTTTGGCTTAGTTTTGGCATAATCTGGCATGTTTCAACGGCATCAGACACTGCCCAGAAACATGAGAAAAAAGTTCGCAAAACTCAAAACGGAAGCCTGTTCAGACGTGTGTCAGCCATGATGTTAACATGTTCCATCATGTTCCGATGGCATCCGACACCTGACTCAACTGAGTTTCACTGACATAATTTGTACTTTTTGATGCCGAAGCCCAACTTCGCACTAAATGTCAAATGAAACCCACAACCAAGAATGATACGATACGATAACTGCCATGATATTTCTTGTTGTTGGCTTCCAGACGCTAAAGAATGTGAATATATTGCTCAGTTTCGGAACTGCGCTCCCACGCAAGAAGAAAAACCGGAGTTTGTTCAAGAAGTGTTAACCCCCTGTTCCACCGTTGTCAACCATCATTGATGACCGGTATATTCTGATCTCATACCAGGGAAAGCAAAAACATGGAGTTGAGGGTCGCAATTTGTAGCGTCCATTTCGGGAACTATTTTTTAAGACATTTCAGGCTTCCATTTCCAGAACCAATTGCTCAACATTTGAGGCTTCCATTTCGGGAACCATTTTTTGGACATGCTAGGCTTCCATGTCGGGAACCCATTTGTAACCATTTTGGCTTCCACTTCAGGAACTTATTTTTTAGATATTTTTAGCTTCCATTTCGGGAACCAATTTTGGACATCTTAGGCTTCCATTTCTGGAACCATGTTTTAGACATTTTTCCGGCACAGCGACAAAACACTTCGATGCATCACCCCGTCCACTTAGTTAGTCGTATCGTACTTGCCTTTCTTGTGGGCAACTTGGGTATGCACAGATACCACACTGTGGGACGCCCGCGTCAACCCTTTTCACTTGGAGATCCTTAGCTTGGATCCACGTCCCACGCCCGTACGCGCTTCAAAATCAATAGCACTTCAGCTTCCATCCTTTTCTCCTCAATTAGGGCGATTCCACGTGCACAGCAAGCAACAGAATCAGGGCCCTCAGCGAAGGCCGCAATCCAAGTCTTGGAACCATGGTTTTCAAAACCAAGCACTGTAGATATGAGTGTCAGCACCGACCAAACGGGCATCTAGATGCGGACCAGGGGGGAATCGATACCCCACCGTCACACACTTGCGTCATGGTATATGACACGCAAAAACGACGCCCTAATCACCACCTATTTATGGGCTTTTGTGCTCACTTGTCAGCCACTACCCCCCTAGACCCCCCTAAACTCACTTCGTTCGCATGGGACAACTTTAGCCTAGCGTTTGGCTGGCTTTCGCAATGAAGTCACTAGGTCAATAACGTCCCTTTTGTAACTCTGAGACCTCTGAGTCTTGTGTCGTTGAGTTTCACACCTCGGGGTCTCATGCACTCGCCATGTTTCGTCTCGCCAATCGAAGGATGCTGGTGGGGGCTCCAATTGCTTGGCGTCCCCGGGAAGAACAACCTGAA